TGTATGAAGACATAGACGATTTTCCGTCATAGGTTTTAGCTTCAAATACGAAACAATTTCGGTAAAAATGATGCTAAATTCATCAGAATAGCGAATATTGAGGGTACCGTTGTATGGGTATACAATTCTCTTTTAGTGGGTAAAGTACTCACAAAGAACTCCTTTTGTAGAATTTAAGACATTTCCATTGAAAAATGACCTGCCTGCGGACATAAAACAGATATGTGCAAAATTGTAGCTTCCTTTTTTGTTTCGTTTGGACCTTAGCTTGATTAAAATAGGCAGACAGGCCTAAATCTTAGAATTTTACGCTGAACAAGATTATATATACTTTGTTAGTTCTAAATTTTTAAAACGATGAGTTACAAACGGAATGACGTACTTAATATACCCCCATACCATGGTAGAAGAATACAGGTAGTCGCATCGACTCAGCTGCTGGAACAATGAACTGGCAAACTGATTTTGGGATTGAAAATGTTGAATGAAAAATTATAAAAATTATTGACATTTGTAAAAATTGTTAAAAATGTATGTTATAACAGCCTCCTTTTGGCATCGTATAAAAAAAAAACATTTAAAATCCGCTTATTTTAATAGAACATTTAAAGATCTTTGACATATCAATGTTCCCAAGCGTTGATGCATCTATCTATACTCTTCTATCATGCCCCATAGTATGTATGATGGAAAAAATACATACATACAATACATACATATAATATAATAAGATGGGACCATGGTAGAAAAATATAGGTAGACGCGTCGAAACAGCTTCTGGGACAATGAACTGTCAAACCAATTTTGGAATTGAAAATTATTGAAAAACGCAAATTATAATAGCCTCCGAATGACGTAGTTCTACAATAGATGGCGTTGGTTATGGAAAACTATGTTATGTCACGATATCGTGACATAGCATTAAGTTATAATTTAACAGAGCTGACACTTTTCAGGGTTGTTGTTGATTTTTATCGATACAATGTGCAAGGAAATGCTCTGGAATAGATTTTTGAGAGCATGTCTATCATACGTGATATTTTTTCCGCGTATATCCGCCATTTTTTCGGCGATATAGGAATAACGTATTTATGTCGCCTGCCATCTACTACCTAATAGAAATATTAAAGCCCATATGCAATTTGTCCAGTCTTTATAGTTTTTTGTCATTGAAAGATAGTACAAAATGCATTTCCAATAAATTGTCAATTTTTAGTTATAGGTGGCGTTAAAATCGACTGGAAAAATTCACTTTTGAAAGCTCTCTCCGGAAAAATATGGCTCCTAACATTGAGTGAAATGTTGTTTTTTTCGAAAAAAAAAACAATGTTACCACTCTTTTTTGCTTAAAAAAGCTTAAATGGAAAAGTCAAATGCAGACATTGCCGAAATTGATGTGGTGTCCGTTGGAATTGCAATTTTCGAATTTCGAAAAAAAGGAAAGTTGTGCTGAATTGTGCTAGGTTTGTGCTCAATTGTGCCGACATTTTTTTCGAAATTCGAAAAAAATTCTGAGATATTCGAAAAAATCTGAGAGAATTGCAATTTTCGAATTTCGAAAAAATTAAAGTTGTGCTGAGTCGTACTCGGTTCGTGCCCATTTGTGCCGTAAAAATTTTTTCGATATCTCTTACCAATTTCGAAAAAAACGATAATTTCGAAAGTATGTCAGAATTGCAATTTTCGAATTTCGAAAAAGTTAAAGTTGTGCTGGATCGTGCTTGATTTGTGCTAACTTGTGCCGTTTATTTTTTCTCAATATTTTCAACCGTTTTCAAGATATGGCAATTTCGAAAAAAACAGTATTTTTCAGAAAAATTGCTGTAATTTTTGTAAAAATCAAAATCGCATATTTAGAAACAAGATATCGAAAAACTAAAAGTTGTGCTGATTTGTGCAAACCTAGCACAATTTTTCGTCCATACATTGAAAATTTGTATTTCCACTCGTTACTAGTTAAAATTGGAAAAAATACATATATAACGAAAAATTGCTGTAATTTTTGTAAAAATTCAAATATCGAGATGCGGTAAATTGTGCTGAGTTGTGCTCAATAAGCACAATTTACCGCATCTTGATATTTAAATTTTTACTTTCTTTTTTTTTTTTGATTTTTACGATTTTAACGAGTAACGAGTAGAGATACAAATTTCAAATGTATGGACGAAAAATTGTGCTAGGTGAGCACAATTCAGCACAACTTGCAGATTTCAAAAATTGCAGATTTCAAAAATGCTAAGTGAGCACAACTCAGCACAATTTACCGCATCTCGATATTTGAATTTTTACAAAAATTACAGCAATTTTTCTGAAAAATACTGGTTTTTTCGAAATTGCCATATCTTGAAAACGGTTGAAAATATTGAGAAAAAATAAACGGCACAAGTTAGCACAAATCAAGCACGACCCAGCACAACTTTAACTTGATATACTTTCGAAATTATCGTTTTTTTTTTAAATTCGTAAGAGATATCGAAAAAATTTTAACGGCACAAACCGAGTACGACTCAGCACAACTTTAATTTTTTCGAAATTCGGAAATAAGAATTTTCTAAGATTTTTTTCGAAAAAAAATCTTTTTTCGAATATCTCAGAAATTTTTTCCAATTTCGAAAAAAAAAATTCGGCACAATTGAGCACAAACCTAGCACAATTCAGCACAACTTTCCTTTTTTTCAAAATTCGAAAATTGCAATTCCAACGGACACCACATCCGAAATTGGCTGTTTTTAACAGACTTACGCTGTACATTACATGATGGCATCGAAAAATCCACTGAAATCATAGACAAATGAAGATATAGACAACAAAAATTAGTTTTGCGTTTGATTTATGCATTCAACCCACTCGAATTCAAAAACACATTTTATCGTTTTTCAAGAATTTCACTGACATTTTTCGATGTCATCACGTGCTATTCACATTTCTGACAAATATCCTACAGTTTTTGTTATTTTTAATGTTTTAAAATTGAGTGACTTCAATATTCTCACTCAAACCCCTGAAATGATATATCTATACATCTGCTGATTCGATTTTTTCGAAGATAAACGGTGAGAGCATTTCGTTGTCTATATCTTCATATGTCTATGCTGAAATGCTTGAAAAACGATGAAATTGGTTTTTGATGTCGAGTGCGTGCATAGACAAAAGAAAATATAGACAACGAAATGCTCTCACCGTTTATCTTCGAAAAAAATCGAAGCAGCAAATGTCGTCTATATCGTTTCAGGGGTTTGAGTGGGAATATTGAAGTCACTCAATTCTAAAACGTTAAAAATAACAAAAACTGTAGGATATTTGTCGGTTGGAAATTGTTCCATAATAAAATAAATGTGAAAATTACGTGATGACATCAAAAAATATGGTTATATGTTTTCGAAGTCGAGTGGCTTGAACGCGTAAATGAGTATGTTGACTATGCAAAACATGATGAGAGCCACCTGGAAAAAAAGACCAAACTAAATTTTCGTTGTCTATATCTTCATTTGTCTATGGTGCGTGTTGACTATGCAAAAGCGTGGATAAAAAGACAAAACTAACTTTTCGTTGTCTATATATTCATTAGACTATGATTTCGGTTGAAACATATCCAAATATTTGTCAGAAGTGAGAAGATGTATATTTGGGATCAGCATACAATTTTAAATCAATTTAACGATATATGTCTATCTGCCTATCTGTTTAAATCAAGATGCAACCAATATTGGAGCTTTGAAATTTGAAATGATAATTTGCATTGCATCTAGGATGATTGTTATTGAAAATGAGGCATGTCGGTCCACGATTTCCTATATCTCCCATTTAACGCTACCTCTAGGTGTTTTGTATTTTGATGATTTTTATCACCTTTTCGACGGAATTGTTTTAATATTTTTTTTTGCGATATCACAAAGGAGAAATCGGTTATCGTAGTAAAAAGAACAGAGCAGTAGTAAGTGGTCCCCGAAATTGTTAGATACTTTTTCCCCTGTTTGCTTAAAAAAAATCTAATTGTATGTATGTTGTTGAGATTTTTCTTGCACTGCAATTTTCCATCAAAATAAATAAACAGGGCTTATAAACTCCTTAAGGTGAGAATACATAAAACGATTTTTGACTGGGTTAAGTCATCGACTGGCTTCTTCATAGAGAAACAAAGGAGTCTTACAGTACGTTCATATATATGAGGGTTAACCCACTGGATTTGGATTTAAATTGTCATTTCCATTACTTTTACTTCAAATAAATCCTCTCAAAGTAGGTTAACCCTACAAAAAGTTCAAACGTAAACATGGCATTAGGTTGACTTAGTACGATTTTGGCTTTACACTTCTTCTTTAAACCCTTGCTCATTTAATGTACTTTGGGATATCGAACAACTTTTAGTAATAATTTGGGATATCGCATGGCACAATTACAGAACAAAGCTAACTCCTAAATACATTTTTTTCTTTTGGTGGTCTGTTCCAGAACCTGCAAGAATCTACTAGTTACGCAATCTCCATATCTTCAAGTCAACCTAATAAAAGCAAGGAAAATTAAAAAAAAACCTTTACATTCTTGCAGTTTGCAACAAAACAATAGCCTACTAGTTTTGCAATTTTTTCGATATCATAATGGAAAAAAAGGTTATAGTAGTAAAAAGTTGCACATGCTTGCAGTTCTGAAACAGAACAAAACTAGTAACTTACATTTACCAGAAAAGCTAACTACTTGCTTATTCTAATCGAAAGTCGACTGTTAATTTGCTTGACAGATGAAAACAGGTAATCGCATCGATACAGCTGCTGGAACAATAAACTGTGCAAAAATGCATATTATAACAACCTCCTAATTTTTTCAGTTGTGTGAAATTACTGAGTAAATCTTTTTGGGAACGTAACCAGACATACATTTGATGTGCCTCAGATTATCCTTTGTATATCATAATATAATCGATTTCCGATAATTTTTTCGTCGACTTATATATCCCTTTGATTACAAAGAAAAATTTTATGGTCTGGCAGGTCTGAAAAATGAAAAGTCATCTCTCGGCTCATTTCACTCAATATGGTGATAGACATTTTTTATGGGCCACAAATAAAAGAAAAACAATGTTGGTGTACTAATTACGCATAATTACCTAATCTTTTTGATTACAATCCAGTAACGATAGTAAATCGTAATAGTTTAAAGAAGATAAACAATCAAATTGTTCATAATGAGAGAACACAGTGGATTACTCTCATCTAGAGATGAATGCACCAATACAACTTTACTGCTTGTCAAAGTTATAGGCACGCAACACGGGAAATTTTCATAAATTTTTTGTCGTCGAAGAAAAGCAAGAAAATAGAAACATACGATTAGTTTTGTTAAAATTTTATTGAAAGCATCCATGTTATCAACGATAGCGTATGCGAAGCTAATTGGCCGTTAAAAATATAATGAAAAATAACAGATAGAAGAGTCAACTTGAGAAAAAAACAAGACAAAAAATTAAACGTTTGGCGAGTGAGTGGTGTGCGTGTGTTTGTATGACTACGAAAAAGTGACAAGCAGCAGATTTTGCGAATTACTGGTTGGTTGATTGAATTTCTATATTTTGTTTTATTGTTGCTACTTCTCTTTGGACCCGACGACTGAAGTACGTACGTGGCGTTAACTAGTTTATATGTCGATAAATGTTAGGTTTTCTGTAGCTAAATTGTTGCGATTGTGTTTAATTTAATAATTGACTCTTCCCTGGTACTGGTGTGAAAACGTAAGACAATTAAGGACTTGTAGCCAGAGTGTCCAGTGACAGAGCCAATAACAAACAAATTGGGACAAATTAAAGAAGTGTAGAACGAAGGAAATCAACATCATTTACCTATTTGCACATCGGTCAACGGTTACGACGTTTACGCGATACCATACCGACGACTAAAAGAAAGAAGTCGACGACGAAGACAGCGGACAACGGGAAAGGAGAGTGTAAAGAAAAACAGAACTGAGGCGCTGGTGGTGTGATAATGACAGATGTTTCCGTAGTTTCTAAAGTACCCGGCAACGAAAATGAAAATGACCCGGAGATGAAAGGTTGGCTTCTCAAGTGGACAAATTACTTGAAAGGCTACCAAAAACGCTGGTTCGTATTATCAAAGGGTGTTCTAAGCTATTATCGTAATCAGGGCGAGATGACTCACACATGTCGTGGAACCATTTCACTGCACGGTGCTCTTATTCACACCGTTGATTCGTGCACATTTGTCGTCTCCAATGGCGGTACACAAACATTTCACATCAAAACTGCCAATGAGGTAGAGCGTCAATCATGGGTTACCGCTTTGGAACTGGCCAAGGTGAAGGCCATTCGGGCCATGGAAAGTGAGGAGGAGGAAGAAGAGAAAACTTCCCAAGTGGTGCCCAGCCAAGAAATAACAACGGTGTTGCGCGATCTGACCGACCGTCTGGAGAGCCTACGCACCTGTTACGATTTGATAAACAAACATGGTGTTGCTCTACAAGGGGCTCTCAATGATTTGCGATCGATAAATCTTGCGGCAAGCGACGAAGAAACAATTGCCAGTCGTATTAAAATCGTGAATGAACGCGCTACACTCTTTCGCATAACGTCCAAAGCAATGATAAACGCATGCAATGATTATTTACGCTCAGCGGAGTCTCAGGGCCACAAGTGGTCGAAGGCCTTACAGCACGAACGAGAGAGTCGACAGCGTTTTGAAGAGATGGTTGAACAATTGGCAAAGCAGCACACTCAATTGGAACAGGCCGCCCACTTGGTTCAACATAATAAGGTTGTACCAAACCCACCCTTGGCTGCTCCCCAAATCATGGACTCTTCCATGACACAATCGAATTTTGTTTCAGACGATGAAACAGAGTTCTTTGATGCGGAAGGTACAAGTACGCTAACACAAAACGAGTCCAACGAAGACAGTCCACAAAATGGTTCGGATAGCGGAACATTCATTTTGCAAATGCCTCATAGCAATAAACATATGCAAGCTGAACAATTCAGTTGTAGTAGCAGTTCTTCGGAAGCTGACCTTTCATCTATTCGGAAATTACCGCAGCAGGTCTGCGTGTTGGATAATCAGAAATCTATGGACACACCCGATCGAGCAGCACCAACAGGCGGCTCGGATCGTAATACCAAAACCCCTTCAGGTAACAATTCATCACCCAATAGTTCCGGTGGCCATAGTGATAGTTCGTCGTCCAGTAATCCAAACAATCAGTCGAATTCCGGCGGTGGTTCAGGAGGAAGTTCAGGTGCGGGCGGTAATGGCGAGGATCCCAATAAACCTGGTGGCAAATCGAATGTTCCCGAAGATGGGCAAGTCTGCAAAAAGGTAGTTCGTCAAAGGCGTACACGAGTTCCTGATAAACCACACTATCCACTCAACTTGTGGTCGATTATGAAGAACTGTATTGGCAAGGAGTTGTCCAAAATACCCATGCCTGTGAATTTCAATGAACCACTGTCCATGTTACAACGTCTAACCGAGGACTATGAATATGCTAGCATATTGGATTTAGCTGCCCGTTGTACAGATGAATGCGAACAATTAGCCTATCTAGCAGCGTTTACCGTCTCAGCCTATGCTACGACGGCAAACCGTACGGGAAAGCCCTTTAATCCACTGCTGGGCGAAACGTATGAGTGCGACCGTACGGATGATTTGGGCTGGCGTTGCATTGCCGAACAAGTGTCACATCATCCTCCAATGGCAGCGCTTCATTGCGAAGGCCGTGCTTGGACATGCTGGCAGGAATTTACAATGACAAGTAAATTTCGTGGAAAATATTTGCAGGTAAGATCGCAATTACATTTCTTATTAATATTTTTTTATATTTCGCCTAGCCTTGGTCTTATTTGATATCCACATTTCATTTTTACTACTGCGTGTGAATCACATTTCCTTTCTTCCCCATTGTTTAGGCTGATGTTGCTGTTGGCATTATTGTTGTCGCATATGCAGCAAAATAAAAATCAACATTCTACGACAATGTGTATTATACATGTACTATACAATTAGAAACAAAATATAGTACAATGTTTTGTTTTATAGTATAGGTATGAAAAGGAGGAATATTTCATTAAATGTTGTTAGTAAAAATGAGAATTAATTAAGGGGGATTAATATTTTTTTACATATTAAGGAATACGAAGGTTTCCTGTCCTACTTAATTAGTAGATTGATTTTAAATGTAGAAGAAAAATGATTTGTTAGAGGCACTAAATCAAATGTTTCGTCTATTACCTATATTTTCATGCTGATATACATAATTTTCTAAGCATATATATATATTTTTTTTTAAACAACATACAATTGGTAAACTGATGGGATATTTATTAATCATTAGTCGAAACAAACTGACATTGAATCTAAATAGTGCGATAATTTGTAAATATTAATCGCGAATACATAATTTACATACATTACTGTGCCAATCTCAGCCCTGTTGTTGTCAAAACCAAAATAATTTAAACTATATATTGACAAATACGCTTTTTGTAACAGGCATCTTAGATGTTTTTTGTCAAACCTTCTTCACTAAAAACTTTTTATGTATGTAAAAGTTTTTGTAGACTGTCATAATTTACGTGTACGTGTACTCGTAATAAATTTTCCTTGCAAATACCTATAAAGCCTAGATAAATACTTATCATTCGCCATGGTGGGTACTTATTTATGGCGTAATCTTGATAGTTTCTTTTTTCTATTATAATTTGTCTATGAAATTCTTTTTTTAACATTATTGACGCAACGCATACACTAAAATTAATTTTCTTTGAACCAATACAAAAAGTAGCTACATACGCATGTTGAAATACTACATTTAAAATTATGATAATGGCAAATGGTGATGTTTGTTGGTATTTATGGAAGAAATTAATTATTATCTCTCGGCTGGCTTTTTAGGAAGCATCTTGCAATAATATGTTATTATATCCTCTGTCATATGGAGGACCTATTAACTTTGTCATTCCGTTTGTATCTCCTCTAAATCTTTAAGTTAGAACCTTCAACTGTATATAGGGACAGATAACATTGTGCGCTGGAAATGAAGCGAGGAACCTCATTTGGTAACCATTCTTGGGTGGTGCGTGCTGAGTGCGATGGTGCTAGAGTCCTAATGAAATGTCCAAGGTCTGCGGCCAAAATGTTTGGTTGCCAAGGCTTTCCAGAATATTTTCGAGATTATAATCGGCCTTTATTCCGATGCCACGGTCGATTAATACGAGCGAAGAGCGACCATCGGCTGTTAATGCGGCCCACACCATCACCATGGGAAGATGCACATTTTCAGCTGACCTCTTTGGCAAGTAAACACGATAATTTTGTTTGTTTACAAACTGCTGGACAACGAATGTTTTCTCATCGGAGAAAACCAAATTCGGCAGTTCACCACATTTGGCCAAGCGAAGCAACTTTAGCTTTTTGTTAATCTATTTTCTTTCTGCTGCGGTGTAAGTTTATGCACTTTTTGAAATTGCAATGGCTTTACCCCAAGCTCATTTTTCAATATTTGCCGAATGGAATACTGCGATATTTGCAGCTCACGAGCCATTTTTCGGCCACTGCAACGCGGGATTCGATCAAGTAGCTTCTTTACTTTTCGAACTATTTCTGCTGATGTTGCTGTTTTTGTCCATCCATTTCCTTGACGTCGGGCTACGCTACCACGGTAACGAGCAATGGTACGAGACACAGAAGATTTATTCACATTTAAATGCTGGAGTGCTGGAAAATTCTCACCAAAATTCTTTTGTACCCTTGCAAACAATATAATAGGCTGTCACTGGAATAATTTTAACAGCTGTCGGACGAGTGGCTTAGAAATGACAGCAGTCTGAAGTTGGTTGTAGTATTTTCATATAACCCTGTATTCTTGATTAGCGTAATTTTCACAGTAAATTAGTCCGTCTGTCTGTTTTAATCACACTATCAAAGCAGGTCAAGATTGAAATTGGGCCTTTTCGGTCCACGTTGTATAGCCCCCATTCAAATTCGGTAATTTGGCGATTTCTTACGGATCCGTACAAAATTCTGTATTAATAGTTGGTATTGGGATCTACCTCAGGTGACAGAACATAGTCTGTAAAGATTCATCTTTTTCTATTCTCCCCATATAACAGTGTCCTCCTATATGTGTTATTTTGATGATTCTAGCCAACTTCGCCTCCTGTTTCACGATTTTTGAAGACAAACTGATTTTTCAGCCGATTTCTGTCGCGTCTGCAGTTTATTCCACTTTAAACGACAAACGCAACTGAAATCGGTTTGAGTATTGAAATATTTATTTTTAAAGGTTTTCTTTACCTCATTATTTGGGTTATTAATGCTCCATCATAGTATGGTGGGTATATTAAGTTTTCCATTCCGTCACACCTCGAAATATAAATGTTAGACCCCACAAACTATATATATTCTTGAACAGCATAAAATTCTATGCCAATTTAGCGATTGATATCCGAATGTTTGTCTATCCGTCCGTCTCTCGGTGAAAATCACTCTAGCTTCCGAAAAAAAATTAATTAGGTTGAAAAAACTTTACTCAGATGTTTTTAGGTCTGCAGGACCCTTGGTACAGGCCCATATAACAGTACAGCTAGAATTAAGGTTTTTTGAATGTTTTAGTTACAATTTCAAACCGAATTTGCTGTAAGATGGGAATATGTGTTCCTAGAATGTAGGCAACATCCTTACAGGGAACTTTACATATATGTCTAAATTTTGGTATACACACCATATTTTGATGATTTGTGTCACAGTTTTTACCCGATTTTTTTCAAATTTGGTATTTGGAATTCGTAAAGGGAGGTACCTGCCTTTGACAGATAATTGGCTATAAAGTTCCACATTTCCATACTGAAACACCTGGTAATCAGAATTTTTAAATTATAGCTAAAATTGTATAAAAATATGTGCACATTTTGCCATATTTAATTTCCCTGCTTTTAATGTCAGCCACTTAAGAAACCACACAAACGTCTATTAACATGTGTGAACTTCATTTGGATTCTTACCGTACACGTATATCCACACATATATATGTTCTTTGTCTATACATATATTAATAATCTAAATAAATGAAATATATAAAATTGTTCACTGTCTTTGTTGCATGGCTCAGTTCAGTTCAGTTTCGGTTATTTGATTTGATAACAAGTAAACAGTGAAGTAACTATGCTTATTTGTGACACTTGGTGCTTCTTTATGTCGTTCATTGTCATGCATACATACATACAAACATATTTGCTCGTGTGAACGCGTATTTCTCTCTCATTGACATATTTGTACAGACGCCTGTGAATTTGAATATCACAAATTGTATACATATACGTGTTGTTGTTGGTGTTATAATTGAATATTGTTCTTTGATATCAGTCAAAAACTCTTAATGAGATATACTAATTCCCCAGTTATCGTTTCCCCAGCAAAGCAAAAAAAAAAAAAAATGAGTACATTTTTATTAATTTTCTTTTATTTGTATTCCCTTTATTTGTTAAATGATTTATAGGGGGCCAAAACTTATAAAAACAACTGAAGAACAACAACAACAAACTGAGTGTACAAAAATACAACCGTACAAACTTATGTTTCTTACGGCTTAACAGCAGTAGTACTGTAAGCATTCTCATTAAGCTATGCATAATATAGCGACCGACAAGATGAACTATTCAGAAAAAAACTATCATAAATATAAATGATATGAGTAGCAAAAACAATTTTGATAAATAGAAAATGTAGACGTTTAGAATCTGAAATTTAAAATGAATATTGTAAATATATTTATGTACAGAAAGTGAAGGGCACTTCTTCTTATCTGAACTATTTTGTAATCTTGGATTGAATGTTTCAGAACATACACAGAAATAATGGTTGATAATGGCAGCATTTTGAAAGGATATAGTGAGGGGTTTCAATAAAGTTTGGTACACTATACATATAAACCAGTAAAGAAAGTCCTAAAGTCGGGCGAGGCCGATTTTATGATACCCTACACCACTTTGCTAATTTAGTTGAGCTCCACTTAATAATTAAAAGTTTTTATGGGAGAATTCAATCATACACGCTATAATTATAATTATAATTATAATTTAAAATTCAAAGGATTAAATATGCCGAAGCATTTGTATCTTTTAAATTCGGACTTGTATTGCCTATTTGGTGCAAAATTAATTTGAAATCAGATAAAGATATATATGGGAACTATACCCAAATCTGAACAATATAGAATATTTCAGTTGGATTTGCAACAGATGTATGCCTTGTATATACCATTAACATTAGACTTACATATACTTTCTTTATACTACAGGGTGAAAAAAAAAACTGTAACAAAGTCCAACGCCATAATTTTTACATTTTCTTTTTTAAATTTTATTGAATAAAAGCAAAAATTGTCGGAAATAGCATCAAATTTGAGAATAAGTTTAGACTTGTTCGAATTGGTCACCTTTGGCACGAATTGTGGCCTTTAAACGGCCAATGAATCCGTCACACGCTGCCCGAATATTGCTCTGCGGTATTATGGCCCATTCCCGACGAAGCGCTTGCTTGAGGTGATCGACACTTTGGTATTTTTTTAGTGCCAACCTAGCTTTCCAAAATACTCCCGACACAATAGTCCAACGGTTTGGAATCAGGAGATTTCGGTTGCCATTGTGCGCTGCAAATGTGGGTGGCACGTGCTGAGTGCGATGTTGCTAAGTCCTGTTGGAATGTACAAGGTTTGCGGTCAAAATGTTTGCGTTCCCAAGGCTTTTATACACACACCGTCCAGAATATTTTCGCGATACTATTCGGCCTTTATTCTGATGCCACGATCGATTAATACTAGCGGAGATAGACCATCGGCTGTTATGGCGACTCACACCGTCACCATGGCCGGCGCTTGAGTTTAGGTGGCCAACCGAAGGTGCACTTTTTTAGCTGACCTCTTTGGCAAGTAAACACGATCATTTTGTTTGTTTACAAACTGCTGTACAACGAATGTTTTCTCATCGGAGAAAACCACATTCGGCACTTCACTACTTTCGGCCAAGTGAAGCAACTCTATAACTCTTTTGAGTCTATTTTCTTTATGTTGTGGTGCAACTTTTTTTTAAATTTCAATGGCTTTACCCCGAGCTCATTTTCAATATTTGCCGAATATTGCGATATGTTCAACTCTCGAGCCATTTTCCGGCCACGGCAACGTGGGTTTCGATCAAGTCGCTTCTTTACTTTTGAAATAATTTTTGCTGATGTTGCTGTTTTCTTCCGTCACCTTCCTTGACGTCGGGCTATGCTATCAGTATCACGATAACGAGCGATGGTACGAGACACAAAATACTTATTCACATTTTAATGCTGGAGTGCTCTAAAGAAATCACACTATCACGCTTGAATTCCATCACGAATAACTTTTTTTCTGGAAAATTCTCACCAAAATGCTAAACAATATAATGAGCTGTCACTGGAATAATTTTAACAGCTGTCATGATACTACAAATATTGCAAAATACGAAATTTGGAAAGACCTGGAAATATTGCCCCCAAAACTACTCTTGTTTGTCACACCTGCCTGATGATAGACTTCTTGATCTAGAGACTCTCTCTTGTAGGGGAGAATTTTATCAACCATATGATGACTCCCACGATAACACCCAAACAACGAAAGCATATGATTTTTCTGATGTACGGGGAGGATCTTCGCCTCCTCTGGTGTTATTTAGAGGCATCCAGGCAGTTCTCATGGGAGCATTCTGGCAGATCTAGATGTTCTTCCGCTGCGTAGCAATTATATTCGCATACCACACTGTGGCGCATAGCTGACCATAGATCGAATTTCCTTTTCGCTCAATGGGCTTTTTACATCTTTTTACCCTTTATCCACAGCCTACTAATATCCATTCCAATGTTGCAACACTTCAGATAGACTTCGACTTGGAAATTCGGTCTTATTTCGGGTATTCGACCAGCAGGCATATAGCGAGTGGTTGGAATATCAAATAGGTAGTGTTGTCGCATCAACTGTCTAAATGAAAAGGTTGCTAAACCAAAAAAAAAAAAAAAGAAACAAAAAGAAAAACTTAAATTTCTAAAATGGCGTATAGAAGATGCAATATTTGTGAATTATTTTCAGTAATACACTCTTTCATATATTTTAACCAGAAAAAATGTTAATTTTGACGACACTGCCTATTTTTGATGTAAATGCACTTAACATTTGTTTCGTTTTTCTCGTATATAAACTGTATTTTTGCTCCGCTTTTAACTTCAATATCATGTGTACCAGTTGGCTATGGCCATCCCTAATATAATGAATAATTTCGTTAATATTCGAAATGTGTCTCCATCGAAATCCCTAAAATAATGCTTCTCTGGTCAACGTTCATTTGGACCATTAGCGACACGCAATGTGTGACAACAGATTTCTGTACAGTTTTGAATTCAATTCTGTATACATAGCGGCGTTGTACAATTCAGCGGTGTATGTTTAAATTTTTGTTAGGTTCAGGTCAAAATAATTACTAAATTGTAAAGAAAGAACTTTGATTGTCGCATATATAAATGAATAACTATTAATTTGAATAACTGATGAATTAGGGGGTTGGTAACAAATGTTACTTGGGTGTCAAGACCATGTTATGCTTTAATTTAATTGCGCGCATATCACAGTTGTGACGCGGCAAGGAATGACTACTATATGTATATACATACATACACCTTTATAAAGAGGGCTGAAAAATCGTTTTCTTATATAATATGTTCATTTCGAGTCCCTATAAGAGACAGAAATAAAGAATGGATGGATTTTTCTCTATAAATCATTTGCAGTTAATAAAGAACAGTGATGATGTCATCACATTTTCAGTTCAATGTATTGCTGCTATTTTTTAAAGATAAGATATAAGATGTTCAACAAATTGAAATCACTAACTAAAAATAATTAGAACTCCTTTTAAACTAGTCTTCATGGGAGGTCTAACAGAGTTCGATTAATGAGCTTCTTCACTTGAAAAACACTACTGTTTGAATTAAACATGTGGTTTTTCTCTTTATACCCTACGCCACACCGCAGTACAAGGTACGATGATTTTGTGCATTTGTTTGTAATATGCCGAAGGAAACGAAATAGACCCATAGTTCCTTTTGATGATCTTCATAGAATCACATTCTGAGTCTATTTTTACATGTTTGTCCATGTATTTTTGTAAACCAAGTACAGGGCGCATTTATTGTCTAATTGAGATAAAATTTTCCACAAATCATTTGTTTGGCCCAAGGACGAACCCTATTGACATTAGTGATAATAGGATCAGATTTGGATATAACTCCCATAAATAGTGTCGTCCGATTTCTAAGTATTGTGCACCAAATGCGTAATATCAGTTCGAATCAAAGTAATTTTGTCACACACGGCTAGGTTCAGTCCAAGTATGTCTTGCAATTTTAATGAATATCTGTTCAGATTTAGATAAAGCTCTCATACATATTTTCGTCTGATTTCGGCACATCCGAACAAATTCAGCCCAGAAGCAAGTATTTTAAATTTGGTGGAAATCGGTTTAGATATAGTTATAGCTCCCATATATATGTTTCATCAGATTTAGTATTTAAATCCCTCACATTTGCAATATGCACTTTACAATAATGATATTTGGTACCAGATATCAGATACCGCTCAGAAATACCTCTGCCAAGTTTTATCGATATCGGTTGATTTGGATAAAGCTTCTATATGAAGGGTGAGATAAAAAAAAACTGCAACAAAGCCAAACGCCATAATTTTTACATTTTTTTTTAAATTTTATTGAATGAAATAATAAAATGTCGGGAATAACGTCAAATTTTAGAATAAGTTTAGATTTGTTCGAATAAGTCATCTTTTCACGAATTATAGCCTTCAAATGAAACCATCACACGCTGCCCGAATATTGCTCTTTGGTATTTTTGCCCATTCCCGGCAAAGCGACATTTTGGTATTTTTTAGTGCCAACCTTGCTTTCCAAAATACCCCACTCACAATAGTCCAACGGATTGGTATCCTGAATGCGATGGTGCTGAGTCCTGTTGGAATGTTCAAGGTCTGCGGCCAAAATGTTTGCATGTCCAATGCTTTAATACACCCTCCAGAATATTTTCGCAATAATATTCGGCATTTATTCTGATGCCACGATCGATTAATACGAGCGGAGAGCGACCATCGGCTTTTATGGCGGCCCACTCCATCACCACGGTCGGCGCTTGTGTTATGGTGGAAAACCGAAGGTGCACATTTTCAGCTGGCAAGTAAACACGATCATTTTGTTTGTTTACAAACTGCTAGACAACGAATGTTCTCTCACCGGATGAAACCAAATTTGGCAGTTTTGGGAAGCAACTCTTTAGCTCTTTTGAGTCTATTTTCTTTCGGTTGCCGTGTAAGTTCTTGTACTTTTTAGAAATGGCTTACCCCGAGCTTATTTTTCAATATTTGCCGAATGGAATATTGCGATATGTTCAGCTCACGAGCCATTTAATGATCCCAAGAAGGTAGCATATCATTCACAATATACTCTTAAAGAGTCAAGTATGATAATCCAATCCATTAGGAAACATGTTATTTAGTTAAAGATTGATGCAAAATAGTCAGTGTACAAAAGAAACAAATGCACTAATATTCTAATTTTTTGGCATATCTTTTCAGATTATACCATTGGGCAGCGCATACTGTCATTTCCCAAAAACAGATCATAAATATACCTGGCGAAAGGTTACAACAACTGTTAATAATATTATAGTAGGTAAACTTTGGGTCGATCAACATGGAGAAATGGAAATTACAGGCCTAAATGCTGCATCAGGCCTTAAATGTATGTTAAAGTATGTACCGTATTCGTATTTCTCACGTGACAGTCAAAGACGCGTCAAAGGTGTGGTAATGGATCGCAACAATGAAGTCAAGTGGGTAATACGTGGTACTTGGGACAGCAAAATCGAAATTGCGCCAGCCCTCTCAACATCTGGCCCACCAGACAGCCCTGTCTATCAGACAGGAATATACAAGACGGCATGGCAGAGAAATATGCCGCCACCGGATAGCGAGAAATACTATAACTTCACTACATTAGCGGCCCAACTTAATGAAATGGAAGAAGGCGTGGCACCGACAGACTCACGTTTGAGGCCTGACCAACGCCTTATGGAAGACGGTCTCTGGGAAGACAGCAATCGAGAGAAGTTGCGTCTGGAAGAAAAGCAAAGAGCCAAAAGGAAACAACGTGAAGCTGAGGCCGAAGCTTCTGCTGCTAAAGGTGAACCCTTCCCGCCCTACCAGCCAGCATGGTTCACTCAGGAGCGTGAAGAGGGTACAGATAATATTGTTCATTTGCATACCGGCAAATATTGGGAACACAAGAAACGGCAGGATTGGTCCAGATGTCAGGATATTTTTTAAACAATAACTGCAACATAAAATAATTAAATAAATAAATTGTTACCACAAAAAACACTAAATCATAATATAATTTTTAAAATACATAAATACACAAAAACCCATTTCAAAAGTTATAATTATTGAAAACAAAAAAAAAATGTAGTTAAATTAGGCCTTAACGGAATATCGCAAACAAGAGCATAGACATTTTCTTTCCAAAGTAATACTAAACCTTTAAAAAGAAGAACAACAAAATGTATGCTTCACAAAAAAAGAAGAAAAAGAAACCAAACACATTGTTATCTATTATTTTTTATCCTCGTTTGCTATATGCATATACACATACATGCAACATACATATATATCGTAATTAATATAAAAATGGATGTATGAAAGCACCTCAACAAGAAAAGCAAAAATACAAGAACAACAACTTTGACAACTCTTTATATTAAACAGACAAAACGAACTCCTTTTCCTTCCTTCCCTGCTATTTTATATTGATTGCTACACGCCTTTAGCAGAAAGCAGTAATTATAAATGTAATAAACAAAAATATTAAAAAATAATTTAAAATTAAAAATATATATGTTAAATAAAAACAAACGAAAACAAAAAAAAAACGAAAACCAACAGTTTTTAAGTGTAACAACTACAATAGCAACAATAAATCAGCCGTACTAGGTTTGTGTAAAACACCAATATTCATTTGTTAATCAATGATAATAATAATAAAGAAACAACATGACAACATTTCCAAAACAGAAACGAGGAACAGGATTTTAGAATCTCCTACGCATTCATTGCCTCCATACTGAAAACATGTATTTTAAGTGATTAAACTCAAAACTGGCTTACACTTTTTTTCTAAAATTCATTGCAAATGGTTTCATTTCTAAAACAAAGCGAAAAAAAAAACATTTGTCATGAATGATGTGTCACTACACAATATGTGTAATATAAAGAGGGAGAGGAGCAGCACAATACCTCTAATACATCTGAGCTAATTTAGTGAACATTATTTGTCAAAATTATACTACTAGAGTCTGCCGCAAACAAAGAAAAACGAAATATATTAAATAAATTCCTAATTATCTGGCCATGTGTTGAATATGAATTGTTAAATACGTATGTGTTTTTTATTAGTTATAAACACTAAGCGGATTATTTGTATAATTATATTTATACATATTTATTTGCAAACTTTGTGGAAAATTATCAACATTGAACAAATCTCAAATCGTTCATTGCCACCACCTTTATTTCTTAATCGATTTCAGACTTGATTGTACAACACCTGTAGCGATAAAACAATGTATTCCTTTTGTCTTTATCAGATATGGTCCGTTTGACAGTATTTAAAGTTTTCGCCTGTCGTCGGAGAGTTGTAAACGTCATAACCTGTCTCAAACATAGAAAAATATATAGCCTCATAAAGTTCTAAATTATTGTACTATCTCACATCCCAGGTTGGTTGATAAACATTTGGATCGTATTATTGAAAATTTGCTCTTTTCAGATTTTCATAAAATAAGAATTGATCGCCTGTTCTTAAGGGCATTGTTATTTTTATAAAAAAAAATAACCACATTGCTTATCGTACCAGCTTTACTTCCTGCAACCATACAGAAGGCTATTTAGGAAATGTATGGAACGATTTCTCAGATGATAGACACGCGAGCATTAAAAATTATAATCAGCTTGACAAATATTCACTCGCTGTCAAAAACTCTTATTATTTACCAAGGTTTAGGACTTTTTCGACGTATGATAGGTCGGAAAAGTATGTCATATGCGTCACAAGTTCCGACAGGCCATAAAGACTATTTATGACCTCTTCAAGCTTTTTTTATATTCTTGAGAATTCTACTCCGATGGTTCTCGCTGTATAAAGAGTCCTGCATACACAGTTCGATCAGAGATAACCCAATCAATATACTAAAGATAATTATATAGAGTCGCATTCTGCGATTCATTAAGATATGAAGATCGTTAAAAGTGAACTCGCATAATGAAGAGAATATGAAGCTGGAATCGATTTATAATGCTCTCTATGCCACTGGTATTTTCTCAATCCTGATTGAATGGATTAATAGCATGGTAAAATGCGGGTAATTAATTGGGGCTTGGATAAGAGCTCCATTAGGAAAACAGTCAGCAGAGGGACACCGCAGGGAGGAGTTCTCTCACACCTGCTTTGGCTTCTTATGATTAACGAAATACATGTGAGTTTCGACCGGCTCCGAATAAAGGCAATCGCATATGACGATGACGTTGCGATTTTGATAAAGTGGTCGATTTCATCTAACTATTTCTGATCTAATGCAAAGTGCACTAGTACAGATGGCTGGTTGGGCCTGGCAATGGTCTGAGGGCAAAACCTGCAACTCAGAACACTTTTTAAAAAAGGTTAATTTTCGAGTATTGGGTGGAGTTACTCTGATTCTCTCCTCGTGTGCCAAATACCTCGGTACGGTTCTGGACCAGCATTTAAACTTGAACAAGAACATCGAGGAACTTATAAAAAAGGGCCTCATTACCCTATGTTCATGCAGGAACGCTATAGGGATGAGCTGGGGGCTAAGACCACAAGTACTACACTGGATATAAGGTGAAGATAACAGGATTATTGATTACATACCCAGCTTTTTCGACTTCAATTACATTGATGTTACTATACCTGATGCCTGGGCTGGTGACGAGCCTCGGTCAAGCCATATACACAGACGGTTCCAAGATGGATGAAGGCTCCGGTGCTGGCGTATTCTTTCCCAACCCAATCATAAAACACTCATATAAACTTAATGACAATTGCAGGGATTTTTAGACGAAAATTCTTGCAATCACGAAGCCAGCCGAAACGGTAAAAGAAATCTGGAGTAGCAGACAAGACTATATATGTGCACAGACAAGCGACCCTCAAAACTATCAAATCAAGTGTCATTTAATCGAGAGTTACCCTTGAATGCTTTGTTGGAAACGTCTGGACCATTCTCTAAACGCGGAAAACCTACTCAAGCTAAGCAACGATGGCAGCGTCTTCCAAGTTGAAACGTTTGCAATTAAAAGGTTAGGTGAGGTTAAAGGATGCGTGGTTGTGTAAGCAACCACTCCACTCGGTGACCTATTGGTCCATTGTGTTCATCCTAATTAAGAGAAGATGGGAAGAATAAAATAATGAAAGGGAAGGAAACGAATGGTGAAGAAGCGGGCATTTGATGGTAGGTATAGAGAAGATAGTAGATTTGTATCCACGGTGCAATCAGCGTGTCGTTCTTAGTCATTTTAATCTAACTGAAGAATGACCGCTGGCTCGGTTTCGGAGAGGGAGGACAAGTCGGGCAGAATTTGCTTACCTCTGTCGCACTCCGATAAGAGTTGGTCAGTGGCAGACCCTCAAACCTCTCAGGTTTCTCTTCGTCCTTTCCATTGTCCTAGTTCATTGAGTCGCAGGGTACACCTAGCAGCTTGTTTCTCTACAAATAGACTTGAGGGTTTTTAGTTGAGTAGAGTGTCCAATGAGGATTGGGGTGCGCTCCTAAACGCGCCCGTAATTAGTAGCGATGCAACTCTTTGGACTTTATCAATGCTTTTGCTGAAAATAGTTTTCCTCCATAGGTTAGGATTGGTCGGACGACTGACTCATATAATCATTTGATTATATGATTTTCCGCCTCCTTGTAAAAAGTACGAGCTCAGTTTTAGATGGGTTCACGCCAAGTCCGTTACAGCGTGCTTATCTGAAAAATTTAACTAGAACTCCCTGCATAAGGTCTGAAACAGTTTGCGGGAATTTCCCAACAATCAACAAAACCACATCGTCAGCGTAAGCCACGACCTCTGTTCCGCCGTGTTCCAGCTCGATTAAAATGTCATTTATCACCAAAAGCCAAAGTAGTAGTTACACAATCCCTCCTTGCGGATTGCCCCCAGTGACCGTTTTCCTAACAAAACACTCCCCGATGCTTAAGTTGATGATTCTGCTGCTGGACATAACATCAATCCATTCAACTAGGAGTGGTGGTATACTAAGTTTTGTAAGAGAAGTGTGACATTGTTGAAGGTCACCTCGATGTCGAGAAAGGCTGCCAAAGTGAAGCACGAGTTATTCAGTTCTTCTCTACATAACCCACAACGTCGTGTTGCACTGTCTCAGCGTAGTTAAGGATAGTAAGGATCTAATCTCAATATCTATTAGTCTCTCCAGAGTTTTCAATAGGGGATATAAGTAACTGTAACTTGTGATGGAATGCGAGAGAGACACAGACAAGCTTTAAATGAGTGAGTTACTATTTATACTCTGTTTTGTGAGTAATAAAATAGTTCTTTCTTATTTTTAGCTCGTTTCTGCTACACTTTTTCACTGCTCTACCAAATTATTGTTTAGTTGGTGATGGTGAATCGAGGTGTAGGGTTCGAGCTTCTCGTGAATTATTAAGATAAATTATTAGGTTTAATTTGTTATTTGATAAGTTTGAATTAATCATTGAATTTGTATTATGTTAGGGTATTGTAGATAGATAATATAAGTTATGGGCCCTGTGGACTTATTTATATTTCTTTGTAAGGTAAATAAATGAAATATCACTTCCAGGAATGGAATATTCTTACCGTCGATGCATTCTGTAACATGGCGGGAATAATGACATCCGGTCTCGGTGACTTGAAAGTCTTGAATGAGTTTATAGCCCACAAAATCTTGGGAGTGCTTACAATCCTCTCAGTCAGACTCACGTCCATCGCCCCACGATGTTGACTAAACTGATCTACCAGTTGGTCATTTACCGCATCAGTGCAGTTCAGAAAATGAGTACTTGATAACAAATTGAGAGTCTTTAGACCAGAGTCAGTCCAGCTTCCGTCATTCCGTTTTGGATTTGCAATTAGAAAGACTATACCTAGTTCGAAAATACCATGGAATGGCAATTGCAATTAACAGTGTTTATTTATTATAGTAGTAGTACAATATTAAACAATATCCGTTAAAATTTCTCCCAATATGCTATATATCTTCCGTCATTCCGTTTTGGATTTGCAATTAGAAAGACTATACCTAGTTCGAAAATACCATGGAATGGCAATTGCAATTAATAGTGTTTATTTATTATAGTAGTAGTACAATAGTAAACAATATCCGTTAAAATTTCTTCCAATATGCTATATATCAGTCCCATTTCCATCGGTCCGGCGCAGATTTTGGTACCAATTTTTATTTTCTTAAAATGCTTCTCCTTAATTAATAAATAGTCGTTTTTTTGTTTCTTTCTTTCGATATGGAAAAATTTAACCGAAATGAATTTAAAATGTAAATGTTACCTTGATTTGATTAAAAACAAGTAAGCAAAGGCTATAATCGTGCGGGGCCGACTATGTGATACCCTACAACACCACAATATGATAGAAGACCCCTTATGTCCAAATCCATTTTGGGAGATTTCGTTTTTGAAATTAGCTTTTAGTTGTTGTCGTCCATTTACAGCTGAATATAATCCAATGGTCATCCAAAATGTTAGACTTTTTTCATGTCCTTAACTCTCTTCTCAGGCGTGTCGATTGGCTTCAATTGTGTGATCAAGAACATTTTTCTGTTTTTGGTTCATTTGAACCCCTAAATATTTTGCGATCATCTCCAAAAGCGAGAGGCCCCTCTGTATCTCCAAATCTAGATTAATATATGATTTTCTTGTCTACGATATTTGGCTATATTCGTCGACGAAATCAGCATAAAAAAGACAGAAGTTCGCCTTTTGTGTATTTCGAATATCGCCTGTAAGTAATGTTGGTATTTTTTTTTTCACACAAAAGTAGTGGTCCATTCTATCCTCTGTTCTAACTCTAACTTCATGCGAGATTTCGTGTCTTTTGGTTTCTATTTGTGACCTTTATAACGGCTGCAAAATCAAAAATATTTTTAATTGTTGGTCCATTCAACCTCTAAATACATTGCAGACATCTTTGAAATCGATAGACCTAGTCCTTCTGGGCCTAATCGGACGATAATTGCAATCTGTATATAATAACTTCAACCCGTGTTGTAAAGTGCAAAAATATTACAAAATATACACTTCAGTATTATAAGTCAAATTAAAAAAAAACACATGCGATAAAAAATATGAAAAAATAAAAAAATGTCACAAAATACAACAAAATTTGTATTAACATCGTTATTGGAAATTTTTCATGCGATTTTTTTAGATTTTATACTTTTATGCCAAAAGGGCATTCTAAATTTACAAAATTTGTCAAAATCGCTCCAGCCATTCTGGAGATATAAGCATTATAGCTAGCATCCCCTTCCTTTGTATATATACATTGTATATATTTCGCTATATATATCCGATATTTTTACTATCGGCATCTACGTAACGTCAGAATTGACCTGTTCTTCTATTTGTGATTTCGCCGGCATTAAAAATATTCGCGGTTTAATGGAAAATTTGACTTTTATTTATCACAAATGCTATGGTCTATTTCAACCACTAAATATTACCCGATGACCATCAAAATTGGAAGGTTTCTGCCCAGCCCAAAGCTCTAGCTCCATGCTAACTTTCGCTTCGATTGGTCTATAATTGTGACCTGTAGAGCAACTGCAAAATCAGGATTTTTCAGTTTTTGGTCCATTTCAACCCCTAAATATTATGCGATCATCTTCAAAAGAAATAGGGTTCTATTCTGACCCTAACCCCACCTACATATCAAATTTCGTGAAGATCGGTTCATAATTGCGACCTGTAGAGTGATTACAAATTAACATGGACAGACGGACGGACGGACATACATAGCTAGATCGACTCAGCTCGGCGAGATAGGAAGATCCATATATACTTTCCTATGTGGGAAATCAATATTTCGTGGTGTTACATAATTTTTGGCCCAATCAAACTTATAATACCCCCAACACATAGTGTTGTAGGGTATAATGACTAAATATCAAATGTTAGAGTTGAACCCCAGTTGTTTCTATCACAAATTTTCATATTTATCGAATTAAAATGAGCAAACCCAAATTCGTTTCGAATTTTCCAATATCGAATACAAGAATTTGAGCCAAGGCTCTGCAAGCACTCAGGACATATCAAAGTATCTGCAAAGAAGTAGCAGACGTCAAGTGAATGGGAAGGAGCTCTCTCCGTATTATGAAACCTCCAATATAGTCAATTTGGGTTTTGTAGGGATATGTCAACCAAATTACAAAAAATACTTTGTTTTTCTCCTTCATTTCGTAATCAGTAGTTGATTTTTTGAAAATAATATGGGTCTGTTTTAAGTATGTCATTTACAATGCAGCATTAACAAGGCAAAAATTCAAGTTATTTGTCATAGAACGACCATGATTAACCGATTATATGAAACGCTATTACTAAGAAGAACAGGAAATAGATAACTTTTATATATTCTTTATCAAATATGTATTGCAAAAAATCTTATCAAAAATTTATTGTCATAAGTGAATAATGCAGATTTACAGTAACAAAATGCAAGTAAGGGACTATTTTCCAATGTCAATACGAAAATGAATGCGAAAAAAATACGATTTTTGTTTATAAAATAAATAAATTTGAAAAACACTCGAGATTGAGTAACAGGCATTTAATTTTCCAAAAACCGTTGATATACATAGACCAAACCAGAATCGAAATCGCATACAAATAATATCAGTACCAAGTACGAAAGCGTAGACAAGAAAGTGCGAAACCAAGGGGAAAATGTCTTAAAAAAATTAAGCATAGCAAGGAGTCATCTTGAAATTGGATGTACATTGGAAGTCATCATGAAATTGGATGTACATTTGGCAAAACGTCTTGATGTTAGCAGGTTGAAGGAAACCACTTCTATCCTTAATTTCCGCAGTCGTGGCGGTTCGATTTGTGATTTCACTCGAAAGCGAAGCTTGCTTGCGAGCAGGATTGCTCGAAGAGTGGAAGTTTTTTACGAATTCTACTCTTCACTCGTTGGTTTTTTGTGAGAGCACATGGCTAAATCAAGAGAATAGGATAATTTTGAGAAAGTTGTGAATGAAGGAACCTATCTGTATGTTGTACTGTCAGAATTACCAAAAAAAAGTGTGTAGTTTATTTTGTATAACGAGAAAAAAATGAAATCTAAAATTTCATTCAATTATCAAGTTTTTATCGTATCAAATGTTTTAAGAATAATTTCATCAATTATTACGCTACATTCTAACTAACTGACTTCCACATTTTCTCAGGCTACATTTTCGAAGTTATATTTTCTTAGCGCATTCTGGTATGATCAGCATTTTTAGCGATAAATGTCGAATATTGAATATATTAAAAACATGTTTGCGATTTCAAAACTATAATTTGGAATATATTGAAATATCAAAATGTATACCAGATTTTGTTTATATTAAACGCATATTTTAGATTTTATTCAATGTATTCCATTTCATGGCCCTTAACATCATACAATTTCGTGACAATATTATAAATATACTACAACAAACTTATTGAAAAACAACTAAGATGAAATATAATAAACAGAAGACGACTGTTATGGGATTTTTTACAAGCCACCAGAAGTTTGTGATTCTGTTGAAATGTCTAATGACTTCAAAAGGGCTTCCACTGACGGATCGCGACCTCGGAAATGACGGAATACTTCAGCGGTGGGCATAGTGCTACCCGAAGCTAGGAAAGTATCTTTGAAACGTTTGCCAATTGAACTTGCATCCGTAGAGTTCTCCAAAAATGCATCGGAAATGTCAGCAGCAATCATTTTCGAATAAAGGTGACTGAAGTGTGCTGCTCCCCAATCACCGGAAAATATTTCGGTCCATGAACAGGGATGTGAATCTTTTTTGTCCAAAGGCAGGCATCTATACACGGGCCATAATTTACGAACAATTTCTGCCCAAAATTGCTCGGATTGATGCAGTTCTATATCCAAATCGGATAGATAAAGTTCATGGCATAAATTATAACCAGCCAGGTGGGTTTTTAGTAGGCGAACATTTCTAGCCAAATCGTCTGGTAAAGCTTCGTCAGACTCAATATGGCCGGATACGGTTTTCAAAATTGTAGGATTATCTAAAAAGTTGCACATAACATGTCCTGCTACTTGTGAGGCATCCCATTCAACACCCGACAAACCAGCCAAGTCGGTGAATGAAGCTCTGGTCAAAAGATGTTGCATGGCAGATCCAAATGTTTTAAATACCATCTTCAAATCATCAACATTCAGTAAATATGGCTTATCATCAACTGGTGCATTGAAATTAAATATCAATGCGCACAATGGCGACAAACCCGCTGCATCATTACGATTACGTACGCTAACCATCCAGCCATTGTTCTTTCCGAATTTGTTTTCTTTTGAATAACAATCGACATAGAAACCTCCAACGGGATGATTGCTGTTTGGGGCATCACAATCAAAGACATCAAAGTATTTTACAGCTGGTTGCCATACCTGAGCATCTGGACGTTCTACAATTTTGATATTAAAGAGCTTTTCACTTAAAGCAAAAAGTCCCGAAAATACTCGAGGCAATGGGAAATATACGCGTAGAGCTTCTTCATCTAACTTGTGTTCAGATAACAAATATTTACGCTGCCAATAGGTAACATCGCATAACTCCAATTTGTGCTCGAAACCACTTTTTGTAGCAAACTGTTGCAAATGCTCAATTTCCACAGATTGGGCGGGACCAGCAAATTGCAGAAGTTTGGAGAAAACTTGTTTTAGTTGCGGAATTTCTTTGACCATTTTAGTTTGCATTGACATTGTTGCAAAATTAGGGTAGCCCAAAGCTTTGGCTTGTCTGCGTCGCAATGCACGAATTTTCTCCAAATGTGTACTATTCTCTAAACTTTGTTCAATGTAGTTTGATGCCTTACGGGTGTTAGCTTGCCATATGTTCCAACGTTGCATGCGATCGGGGCAATATTTAAGGAAACCTTCAACTATTTGCGGTTGCAATGTAAATTTCCAAGGACCTTGTGTTACGGGTGCATTTGAATCAATTGCTGTGGCTTCCAGAAGAGTTGAGGGAAAATCCCTTACTAATTGATAGTCGTTAATGATGTGGGCAAAGCTGTGTACTGAAACATTTACTTTATTCTTGAAGGTAGCTCTTTCCTTACCCAATCGCATTAGTATTTCTTTAAGGCCATTTCTGCTGTCATTATTTAAATTTAAGCCATTGAGTTTTCCCTCCAGTAAGTACTTTTGCAAGAGACGTTTTTCTTGTGGATCTTTTAAGTCTTCGGATTCTTGTTCTTGCAGAGCTTCAAATAATGTCTTATTGCAGAATCTGGAAGCTCTTGCATTTCTAGCTCTCTCGTGTATGTTCATATAGGATTTGGTAGGTATCAATGTACTGTTACCCAAGTACAAAGCCTTTGCAATTCCCCATGTTGTGTCGAGTGGTCCTGTGACTTCATCCAATTCCTTAAAAACACGACCCACATCAATTTTCTCATTTTCCGGGAGATCCTGTATTTCACCCTCAATACGTTTAACTAACTTTTCCACAGCACCAGCCTGACTTCCAATGGCTCCTAAACAATTTTCAATTGTTATGTCATTGAAAGCTGGCAAGCCATCTGGCTTAACAATAACATCTCCAGCCTGACCTTCCTCCCCTATTTCTGGTACTCTGAAATATACAACGGAAAGTGTCATTTTGTGGTTACCTCAGACCTCATGCCGGTGGGTTCAGTGCTGTAGTCAGCAGCCTACTTACAGTACAATGTAACCATTTTTGGGTTTTGTGGTATGTAAATATCTTCTTGCCGCTGGATTTTTTGTCAATTGTCGAACAGCCGTTAACATATTTCTCGATTTTTATTTAACAATTAGCAATTTGATTTTCAATGCACTCGAGAAATATGTTGATTTACACAACCAAAGTCAGCTGGTGAAGAATTCCAAAGCACACAAACAAACGCACAATCAATTAAATGGGAAGCTGACGTTTACCTAATACAGTTAGCGTGTTAAAACTTCGTTAGCGCCAACAGTCCTCACTGTGTTTATACCACTAAGGCAAATGACAAATGTCAGCTGTTTTTCAGTGTTGGACAGCGGCGGACACGACTTTTGGTTTTGTCATTGAATTTTTAGTGTTTTTTGATTGTACAAAGAAAGTATAAACAATATTAAATTTAGGAATAGCAACTATTATTTATGTGGAAAACTTTAGTATATTTGTAAAGTCATAACTTATTAGAGGAAGATTTGCTGTCGTCTCTATTACTCTGCTGGCGACTTTAAAACGTTATCACAAAAACAGCTGTTTCAATCTTCCCTTTTGCCCGGTCTAACTATGAATTTCGTAATAAAACTGTCTAGACATGGATATAATTATCAATATATCCGGAAACTATCTACAACGAGGAGAGTAGTTGTAACAGGTCTTGGAACTGTATCACCATTGGGTATTACCCTCAAAGAATCGTGGCAACGATTGATAAATTGCGAGTCAGCCATCTCAAAATTAAGCGATGACTACAAGGGCCTACCATGCCAAGTTGCGGCACAAATCAAGAAGGATAAACTTCCTCTCGAACAATACTTAACAAAAAGTGATATTAAACTAATGAGTCCAGCAACACAACTTTCAATTTTGGCAACAGAAGAGGCATTACAGGCAGCAAAATTGAATACGAAAGACTTGAATAACGATCAATTGGAACGCATTGGAGTATGTGTTGGTATGGGCATGTTCGATTTAAGTGAAGTCTATGGTGCATGGCAACAATTACAACGTGGGTATAATCGCGTTAGCCCATTCTTTGTGCCACGTCTACTGCCAAATATGGCGTGTGGTCACATTAGTATGAAATATGGCTTGAGAGGTCCTAATCATTCGGTTTCCACTGCATGTGCTACTGGCGCTCATGCCATAGGCGATGCTATGCGCTTTATAAGAAATGGTGATGCTGATGTTATGATTGCCGGAAGCGGGGAATCTTGCATTGATCCTTTGTCAATTGCTGGTTTCTGCAGACTGCGCGCACTGAGTACATCTTTTAATGAGACTCCCGAGAGAGCATCGAGACCCTTTGATAAAAAGCGCGATGGTTTCGTTATGGGTGAAGGATCAGCTATATTAATTTTAGAAGAATTAGAATATGCACGAAAACGTAATGCACCGATTTTAGCTGAAATATTGGGCTATGGGTTATCGGGTGATGCCTATCACATCACCTCACCCAGCGAAGATGGCACAGGTGCTACATTGGCTATGCAACGTGCAATCAAGGACGCCGGTATAAAACCGGAAGAGGTAACATATGTGAATGCCCACGCCACTTCAACGCCTACGGGTGATCGAATTGAGGCTCGCGCAATACAAACAGTATTTGGGGAACATTCTTCGAATATTCGTGTATCCTCAACAAAAGGAGCTCATGGTCACCTACTAGGATCATCCGGTAATTTAGAAGCGGCTTTCCTCATACAGGGATGTTATGAAAATAAACTACCGCCATCAATAAATGTGGATAACTTGGATGAGAGCGTTCAAGTTCGCATTGTATCAAAGCCCGAAATATGGTGTGAAGATGGAGGAAAACGACGCATTGCTCTGAAAAATTCATTTGGATTTGGCGGTACTAATGCTTCGTTATGCATTTCCAGTTACAGCTAAAACTGGCAGCCGATAACTGTTTTTTTTTTAGAATTTGCATTTTTGTTATAATTGTTGCTAAGTTGAATATGTATCTTTCGAAAAATAAAATTGTTTTAAATGATGTGAAGAAAAATGTTGCTTCGTTTAAGTTTGTAGGAAGTTCGACAAGTAATTACCCCTGTCATCCATTATCTACTTTGCTTACAAATTTGTAAATGTAATTTTATTTTACCTTATATTTTAAAAATAATAATCATAACTTATATTTCTAACAATTCTTGGAAAGAAGTTGAAAGTTTCTGGAAGAGAAAGAAATGTTGATAATCCAATTATTTATATGCATTAAATTATAGATACGAACCGATTTACAGAATGGACATGTTCCAAATGCAACATCTAGGAAAGTTTTGCCATCGGCTAGAGTATTAAACCATTCCTTTAAACACTCAGCATGAAATATGAGATTACAGTGAGAGTTGTCACATGAAATTATAGGGATTTCACCACGATCCAATTTATAACTATAACATATATTACAATAGCCAAGATCATTAATATCAGTGTCATCAGTTGGTGACATGGGAAAGAAACATAAATCAAAAATGCGTAGAAGGTTTTTGTGCACATCCAGTTCATTATCCCAATCACGCAGACCTTCACTGTAAACCCGACGAAGATTGGTCACCTCGGTTGTTGGTCCAATTAAATGTACGCTCATCGATGTCAATGGACTAAATGGGTCAGAAAATTGAAGCTTTATAAATACACGTTCTTTCAGAACAAATAATCTCCAATTTTCCTTAGTTGTGGGAAGACTTGGTTGGACAACGTGGCATAATTCATCAATTTCCGCGAAATTCTCATAAAACGGAGACAAATCATCTAATATTTTTCGAAACTGTTGTAGTAATGCTGTAAGTGAAGTAGCTTTTCCCAATAATTCAGGTACATCGATACATTTGGGTAAACTGTGGTCTAATAATTGTAGTGAAGGAAGTGCTACGTCCAAATAATGTTGTTCGCTCTGGGAAAAGTTACAAAAACGTACACGAGAACACGATTCATTTGTCTGGATTTCATATTCAGCGGGTAAATATAGACCAGCTATTTCAGCATAGATATTTTGATTTTCTAACTTTGGGACATGACTTTCATCTTCACATTTTTTCAGTCTATTAATTACATATGGGATATTATCGATAAGTTCGCCAACAGTCCAATTGCAATTGATTTTGGAATTGGCGGGGGTAAATGTTTCCACTTTAAAATTTTGTATTATGTGCATTGTAACACCCTCCAACACTGGATAATTCGGGCACATTACTTTCACATTAACCCAAAAATCCTGTAAAAATCCCCAAGTTTTTACCAAATAACAACAACATAATTTAATTGTCTTACGTTTATCTTTAAAGGTCCTTCAATACATATACAGTTTTTGTTGCCATACCGAGTATGGCAAACGAGGCCAACATACTTTAATGAAAGTTCCTCAAGTTCAGGGCAATCCTCAAAGTCCATTTCCAGGTTTTATTTGAATAGCGTAATTAAAGAGCGCTTGTTTTAAAGTTGATTGGGCACATAAAGAACCGAACATGGCAGAAGAGTACAGGTAGATGCATCAACGCTTGGGAGCATAGATATGTCAAAAAAATTTAAATGTTATTTCAAATATAAGTAGATTTTTATATGTTTTCTTATACGAGGTCATTCGGAGGATATTATAATTCTTGTTTTTCAACAATTTTTACAAATTTAAATAATTTTTCATTCAACATTTTCAATTCCAAAATTGGTTTGCGTCTACCTATATTCTTCTACCATAGAACCGAAAATGAATAATATCGCATTTAGACCATGGTAGAAGAATACAGGTAGTCGCATCGGCACAGCTGCTGGGACAATGAACTGTCAAACTTATTTTGAAATTGAAAATGTTGAATGAAAAATTATTGAAGTTTGTAAAAATTGCGTCGTATACGAAAACATATAAAAATCTACTTATTTTTGATAAAAATATTTTGAACATTTGACTTATCGATGTTCCCAAGCGTTGATGCATCTACCTATATTCTTTTACCACGATTTAGACCAAATATAAAATCAGGTTCATAGCTCAATGTTAACTCCATGGTAGAAAAATACAGGTAACAACAAGTGTTGTTGTACAACAATAGTAACAACAACAACAATTTTGTTTTTGTACGAATTACAAGTGTCAGAGTTATATGTCCAAAAATGTAGACAAAATAATTAATTTTCAATAAATTATCTTGATTTTACAATTATACATTTTTGGAATTTGGACTATTAAATTTGAAATGCAGAAGAATAGTTCCTCAATTATTCAATTTGAATGCTTTCATACCATGGCAGAAGAATACAGGTAGATGCATCAACGCTTGGGAACATTGATATGTCAAAAAAATTGAAATGTTTTTTTAAATATAAGCAGATTTTTATATGTTTTCTTATTCTAAGTCAAAAGAAGGTTATTATAATTCGCGTTTTTTCAAAAATTTTTGCAAATTTAAATAATTTTTCATTTAACATTTTCAATTCCAAAATTGGTTTGACAGTTCATTGTCCCAGCAGCTGTGTCGACGCGTCTACCTATATTCTTCTACCATGTTTCATACCATTCACCTGAATGTATAGTTGTTAGCTGTAGGTTCTAATCTCTCAACACTTCAAGCAATCGCTAGAAATTCGTGGAAAATGCAGCATCCCTTTCAAGTTGAAACCAAACAGCATACATACATAAAGTATTCTACATTTTGCAATTTTAGGAAAGATGAAATATACGAATATACAATCTAACGTGGTGTCGCTGTTCCTTAACCGAACCGTTTCCGAACCATCGCCTTTGGCGATGTTTTCTATTATTACGCAAAAAATATGTTCACATCGCCCTGAAATGAAATTTTATATCAAAAAAGGGTATACCTATTTTATATCAAGAAATGGAATTAAATCACAAAACGTCATATCGAGTTTGGCACTAGTATTACTATAGAGTCAAATCAACTGGGACTTGCTGTTACCTGTAATAATTATACCATAAGTTAACTCAAAGTTTTTTTTTATTTTTTGAGATGTGATATTAATTAACATTAATTTTTATTGAACACACAATAAATAAGTATTCCAATTGTCACAGCTAATTATCAGGCTAGCTGTTTAAATACATAATCGTGACTGAAATTACCAAAAACAAACACAAATTGGTCGGTTTTCTAAACGTTGGTACATGGCAGTATGATGCAAGGAAATCTCATGCAAACATATGCTATAAGCATGGTACAATAAAAAGGTAAGGTAAAGCTACCAGCTGATATATAATTTTTTTTTCAAAGTGTTCCCGACTTCTGCCAAATTTGTATATGTATTTACATGGTACAATGAAATCAAGATAGGGCAGAACTACCATATGATATTATTTTATTTATTTATTTATTTTTTTTTTATTTTCTTGGCTTAACATGTCAACTTTATTTGCGTATGCGTGTGTATTGTTTTCAATTTATGAAATTTGTTAAGAAAATATTCAAACTCAGCTGATTTCAAAATGCTTATTTCAACATATGCACGGAAAAATTGCCAATTGTAGCAAAATAAATCTGTAGAGATATGTAGAACACGATTTTAAAAAGAAAGTAGGCCTTTCATTCAGTTTTCCCGTTTATTAATTATTTGTTCAAAAACAATGTAACCATGGTACAATAATAATTGTACCATGAATGTAACAAGATGCATTTGTTTTGATCGTAATTCTGACATTACAATTCTTACAAGTAGAGCTCATTACGTGCAACTTTTTCCAAGTTATCCTACCTTGACTCCATTGTACCCACGGTAAAATTAAGGAGGTAAAGCCATTTCAAATGCGACTATCCATCTCTGCATTACATGTAATTTACCTTGTCATATTTAACTGAATATAAAATAGGTCCCCATCTCCGATTTTTGTGTATACTATAATTATAATAATAATAATAATGAGAAGTCAAAATAAGTTTGCATGATTTTACTTTCTTCATTCTTCCATGATTGCACCATGTGTATTTAGTTTTTGCAAAATAAAAACATAATATTTTCCGAATCGCGCATTTAAGTTATTAACCAGTTTTGTTGTGGAATTAAAATATTGGACAGTTAAGATTATATTTTTGAAAGCAAATCCAGGCTTTTTATTTATTTTTCATGCTATTAACTCTTTTTAAAATTGAGGAAAATATCAAATAAATGAAAACAACGTGTTGTATAAAATTCTAAATAGTTCTAAAAGGAAGCGGGTATAGCATTCTGTAGTTTTACGAATGGTGCAAGTACATAAAAAGCTTGAAGTCATGGCTAGGCATATCAATGTAAAATTATAATGGAAAGCGACGGCAGGATTTTATTGCGTCTCTGTAATTCCTTTATGAAATGTCACAAAATATGCTAGCCATTATAATTTGACATTAATATGCCTAGCCATGACTTCAAGCTTCTTATGTACTTACACCTTAACTCTTCATTGTACCATGATAAGTGCAGTGCATGGTAGAAGGATACAGGTTTGACAACATCCCATTGTCAAAAGTGTTCACAAATCCGCAGAAGACCGTAAATGATGGTCCCAAGCATGTGATTTAAGGGCTAAGTACATAAGAAGCTTGAAGTCATGGCTAGGCATATTAATGTCAAATTATAATGGCTGGATTTTAGTGCGGCTCTGTAATCCCTTTGTGAAATGTCGCAAAATATGCCTAGCCATGACTTCAAGCTTCTTATGTACTTAGCCCTTTAATATTACATGATATATGATGATTCAAAATTTTGAGCATTTGTGGGGAGGAACCAGAACGTTCACTAGGGATACATCGTCAGATCTTGCATTGATAGGAATTTGAGAATGTGCCGTTCAATTCGCCTTTTCTGGACGTTGTTGTTGTTATTCAAAACGTTGATCAGTGGGTATGGTACTAGAAGGAGTGGTCCTTCAATCCATTCTTTAAATTAGATCTTTCGTCCGTAGTAATATTGGGATCTACGAAATTTGAAGACAATAGGGATTTTGTTATTTCATATTTTATAAGATAAATTGTGAGAATTGTGATCCTTTGGAGGCACTAGAAGACGTGGGCCGATATTATCCCTTTTTCTTTCTAAAATTTGATACTCTTTTTAAGTAGCCGGCTTTCTAATGAGACTTGAAATCTTCTCATCTGGAATGCGTGAACCCACGTTTTTCTCAATGTTTTTTCGGCGGCTAAGCTAGTCAAAGTTTAGAAATAACGAAGAAAATAGTGCAAATTGGGTCTTTTCGGAACCCCTTGTCAAAGGAAGTACGCGTTTCTCCCTGAAAAAAACTTATGCGGTTTTAATCAGGACAAAAAGACCGACATTCGGTAAAACTTCTCTATTTGAAAAAACTAGGCAATCCCTCGGTGGTAACTATAATGCAATTTTGGGTAAAAATGGCTGGATGTGTAGTTTTGGCGAAATCGGATATTCTCTTTAAGCGTTATCAGAAGTACGAATGGAGCACATGAATACATCGATGAGACCATTTTTTCTATGAAACACTTTTTGGCGAATTAATTTATATATGCCCTCTGAAGTCTTAAGGCTATGGTTTTACCCTGGTTGGTTTTTCTGAATATTTTCCATATGTTTTCCCGTATAACTTAACTGACTGATCGACATAATTTTGATTCCACACACACACAGGCTTTCGCACATTATAACCTGGCAGGTCTTCACCTTCAGTTGAAGCATTTTTTTTCACAAAATTGATTTCATATTTGAATCGTTTATAAATGTAATAAATGTTTGAAAAGCTACAGTTACAGAAAATGCAAATATGGGAATGCTTATTTGAAATGTCTACCTTCTTGATTCTACCATGATGGCATCATAACCCTACCTTGATTTTATTGTACCATGATACAATGAACACAAGGTAGGGTAAGGCTGGAAATACATAAAGAGCATATTTGCCTGGCTTAAGTCATCGGCTGGCTTCTTCGTAGATGAACAAAGGAGTTTTAGGTTGACTTAGTTCGATTTTGGCCCTGGCCTCCTTTGTTCATTTCCGAAGAAGCCAGCCGATGACTTAAGCCAGCCAGATAAGCGCTTTATGCTAGGAACACAATTGGAGCGAACGACGAATTTTTTCGCGGCGTATGTTCGTCGTCAAAAATAAAACACATATGTGTATATGGAAGTGCACACAATCACGGCACCGGCGAAAATTTCGTCGGTCGCCGCGATCTCAATTAGCTTTATTTCTATTTCATACGCCGGCGACCGGCGAACAAAACTGTACAAGGTGGCCATACTTGTACGAATTTTATGTGTTTTAGTAAATAAAGTTACTTTTTACTTTAAAATTTGTTATGGTCACTCTACTATCTGTTACTCGTATAAAAAAACATAATTAATTTGTTTATTTATTTGTGTACTTGCGCCTGAGTGAAGATGGATATCAGTGAATTTATAATAGAGAAGATGAACATAAGTGAAATTATAATAGAGAACGTAAAGAATTATGTGTTCTTGTATAATTCATTGTAGTCAACAAATGAGCAAAAAGTAAACAACTTCATCAGCTGTTTTATAATTTCGTCGGTATTGTGTTCCATACGACGAATTTTCGCGGCTCATTTTGTCGCCGCGTAGGGCGAAATTCGTCGTTCGCTCCAATTGTGTTCCTAGCATATTTCATACGCCGGCGACCGGCGAACAAAACAGTACAAGGTGGCCATACTTGTACGAATTTTATGTGTTTTAGTAAATAAAGTTACTTTTTACTTTAAAATTTGTTATGGTCACTCTACT